ACATAATCAGTGCCGTTACAAATGCTCGTGTCCTGACTCCAAAACATATCCTCCTCCCTTGGGTTGTCAAAACATTGACCGGAAATGTTGAACTGATACGGACTTTGAACCGCCTCGGTCACTCCTGTTCGTATTCACGACTAGAGGAGATAGACACGGCATTGTGTATAGAAAAAATGAACAGAATGGGTGAGGATACACCAGCCCTCCCCTCATGGGTACATCCATGCGTTCCAACTGTACTTGCATTTGATAATATTGACAGGCAGGAGGAAACATTGAGTGGGGCCGGCACATCGCATCGTGTAAATGGGATCGTTGTTCAGCCACAATCTCTATCATGCGCACCACCAAAACGCGAACCATCCGTGGACAAGAAGGAGAAAAGGCGCTCCTTATTAGCACCATGTGAGGATCATTTACCAGTTTATATCTCTGCCAAGAGGGAAGGTCCCCCGCCGCTGAAGGCTTCTAACCTATCTGTCCCTTTCATTGATGCCACTGAGTCAGCTAGACAGGTTAATCTCCTATGGATAATCACTCGACTGCACAACACTGTAAACCAAACTGTCAGCTCTTGGACTGGCTTTAATATCAAAACCAGAGACAACGTAACAGTCACTTCTGATAAGGTTGGATACTTGCCGACAATCAATGCACCAGCTACAGAAATGCCGACTGTGCAAGAGATCCTTTCTCAGTCAGTTTCCATTCAGCAACACCTAGGCCTGGAGAAGATTGCCGTTGTTATGGATCAGGCTCTGTATGCTAAGGCAACAGAGGTAGCCTGGAAACAAAAACTTAGATTTGAGAACATTCTGCTAATGATGGGCAATTTTCACGTAATCTGCAATATGTTGTCAATTGTTGGAAAACTATTTCGGGATGCAGGCCTTCGGGACATTGCTGTTGAATCTGGGGTGATAGCCGAGGGATCAGTTGACAAAGTTCTCGAAGGAAAGCAGTACAACAGGGGTGTTCGTTTCCACAAGCTCATGTATGAGGCGTTGATGCGACTTGTCTGGGGAGGATTCGTTGAATGGTTAGAAATTAACTATTTTACAGACCTTCGGCATTTAGATGAAACCCTGCGTCTTGTACTGGAGATGCATGACGATACCTGTGCAGCCACCCTTGAATCTAGTAGGAATGACAAGTCGTCCCACAGGATTCTGCATTTGTTGCGTGGTAACATAGAAGTTCTGCGTCACGACAGTGGACAGCTGTCAGCATTTTGGATGACGTATATTGATACGGTGGAGATACTACTTGGGCTGATACGTGCAGATCGTGAAGGAGACTGGCACCTTTATTTAGCATGTATCAGGAACATGATTCCTTGGTGCTTTACAATGGACAAAACAAATTACTCTCGATACCTACCAGTGTACTATGCACAGATGACACAGTTGGAGCACACATGCCCAGACCTTCATGATCATTTTCTCGATGGTGGGTTCTCAGTCCAGCTTAGACAAGCTAACCCGTTTGCTAAAATCGCGATAGATCAGACAGTAGAAGAGACAGTAAATAAAGACACACAAACCGCAGGTGGGACAAAAGGCTTCAGCCTAAACCAGAACGCATTGTCCCGCTTTTTCCTGACCGCTAAACACCGAGCTGAAGCTCTAAGGCAGCTTCGTGACCTCATATCAGTCTCTGGAAAACAGGAAGGCCTAGGTCATGCGGACTTGCAGTCATCAAGAATAAGGAGGGACGAAGCAGATGTAGTGTTAATTGTGGACTTGTTAGAAAACAACTGGACGAATCCATTCTCAAACCAACCGTCAAACCTTGTGAGTCTTTCCACGGGTGTTGCGGCAACTCCCAACATAACATCTGATTTGATGAAAGCACACAGCAAAGGAGAAGAGGCGTTCAAGATCCGTGAACAGGTACTGGAGTCCGGAGAGGGATTTTACGACCCAATAAAAAAACTGAATCTACAAACATTCAGTGCCTTACAGAAACGCACGGTTGTCAAAGGTGGAACAAACAAAGAGATCGTATTGAAAGCTGACAACAGGGTTTTTGGACACATGCTTCTAGTGGCACAAAACAGGAAGCTAGACATGCAAGAAGTGCTAAGCTATCCCCTCGGGCCAAAACCATGGGCATTAGCCAACGGAGATGGAACACTGAAGAAAACAGGTAAATCAACATTAGGCAAACATCTTGAGAAAGATATTGCTAAAGTTGAGTTTACCAGTACACATGGTTCTCGGGCAACAATAGTTGACGCCATGGGGATAGTGCAAATGGTTCACGGTAAAAATCTGACATTTGATGAACTCTCTGATGTAATCCTGAAGAAAATTCTGAATGATGGTCAGGGGAGTGGAAGAATCGATGTAGTGTTCGACATCTACAGAGAACAGTCCATCAAGGCTGCAGAGCGCACAAACCGTGGTTCAGGACATGGAATTGTATTCAACCAGATCAAGCCGGGACACAGGATCAAGAGTTGGAAACGGATGTTGGCCAGCACGGAAAGTAAGACCAAGCTTACAATGTTCCTAGCAGAGAACTGGAAGGAAAAGAAAGCGAGGGAGAAACTTGGTGAAACCATATTGGTGGTAACCTCAGGCGAAACATGTTTTAAAATAACCAAGGACAGAGTGACAGAGATGGTGGACCTCCGAGCCACACATGAAGAGGCTGACATGAGGATGATGATACATGCAAAGCATGCTGCAGCAAACTACCAAAGGGTCGTCGTGATTTCAGAAGATACAGATGTATTTGTCATTCTCCTCGGCCTTCACTCACAAATTGGTGCCAGAATCCTTTTGAGACGTGGAAAGAAAAATCAGATGAGTCTGATCGACATATCAAGGTTGGGTACAATACTTGGGAGGGATGTGTGTACTGCCTTAATCGGTCTACATGCATGGACTGGATGCGATTCAGTCAGCTCATTTGCTGGTCAGGGGAAGATAAAAGCAGTCAATCTGATCTGCAAGCACCAGAAATATGGGAAGTGTTCATGTCTTTAGGGCAGGAGTGGTGTGTCACGGAGGCGATGTTAGAAACTGTCGAATCCTTCACCTTTAACATGTTTGAACACGAAGGCGAAAGAGGTCAACACACTCCGATAGGAAATGTCCTGTTCGAAAAAAGGTGACATAACATCTGGACAACTACCCCCGTGCAAAGATGCCTTAAAAGAGCACACAAACCGTGCTAACTACCAATCCGCCATTTGGAGAAGAAGTCTCCA